TTGTTTCTTTTGTAATTTATTTCTGTAATTTTTTGCATACCTCCTGTCCCAAGAAATCCTTACTAAAATAAGATTTGTATCTTGTGGGCTTACTCATCTTGTGAAAAAATGAAGAAATAGCCTGCAAGACTAGCAGAACAGGAATTGTAGAGCTTTCCACTGGTTTAAAAGCAAGGGCTGTGCTGAAACAAAAAAGGACTTCAAAAGATCAAAACAGTTGCTGTTGATTTTGATTCATTTTGGTAGTTTTAAAAGATCAATGTTTGCATCAGTTTTTAAAACTTTGGTAAAGGTTTGAAAGTATATTTTTGATTACTTTAAGAGGAAACTTTTTAAAGGACAGTTACCAGACAATGTAAACGAGAAGTCTGTTGGGGTTGTGTGGTTTTTTGTTTGTTTTGGGGTTTTTTTGGTGTTTTGTTCTAAGTTGTTTAACCGGGCTATACTGAGATCTTTTCATAACACTGTCTTGTATAATAGCTTTGGTACCGCTTTTTTTGTACAGCTTAAATTCTTGAGCTGGTTATTGTCTCGTGTCTTCATTGGAACTGGTTGGTAAGGGGAGTCATCTTGTACTTCTCTGTTTTAAACATGGATCGTTGTCACGGTCTTGTCTGAATTATGTTCCCACATGTTTTTCTTTCCTCCATTGAGTCTCACTTAAACATGACACTTTTTTGTCTTTAGTTTTCAAGGCCCGTTAGGTCCTATTGCTGCTTACTCTCTTTGAAATCTTTCCTTCAGGACTCACGCTGACAGTTCATACAGAGTGTTGATTTCCATTAGCTCCTTATTGAATTGTCCAAGACAGTCTTATCTGAGTGTCTCACAAAGCCGCCATTTATTTTCTAGTTATTTATTTTTATTCTCCTGTTGTTTGTTCTACAGTAAAAAAACCCAGCAAACAGAAAAATAGCTCCCTGAAACAGGGAGGAGAAGAAAAAAAATAATTCTTATGTTCACTGCACTGAGATTTCTACCTACTATGATGGCTAGTATGTCTTGTCGTTTCCTTATAATCTTTATTAGCATTTCTCTGCTTTGCTGTTTCAGTTGTAGATGTTTAGCATTTTGAGTTTGGGGCTATATCACTCTGGCTTTCTGCTAAGGCAGTTAAAGAAAGCCTTTTCTACAAAATGATTAAGGCATTTTTTTCCAATGTAGTATTTTAGAGTCTCTATTTTTGTGGAAAGTGTTTGAGTCTCATTTCTGTATTATAACAGAAGGACTTCACTGAAGTATGGAAGTAGGTTGTAAGTGTGGAGAAATAGGTTGTTAGGCATCTCTTAGCTGATGGTTGTAAAGGATCAGGAATTGTCAACCTACTGGTGAAATGCCCTGAAAGACACATAAAAACTTACAAGCAGACAAGAGCTTCTAATGAATGGGAGCAAAGGAGGGTGTAAGATGTAAAAACAGCTTTCACAGGGTTAGTGCTTCAAAGAAAGAAAAACTTTACAAGTTGTAGCTCTGGTTCCTAGGACAGGGGAAGCAATTGAATCTTGAGTGATCTATATGATAGATGCTGGTAGTACCATGAGCATATATGTGTAGGCAAGCTTTGTTGCCTCCTTTTACTGCAAGACCTCTAAATTACTTTTTTAATTTCGTTTTATGATTCTATGACTGATTTAATACTATGAGAAGTTTTGTTGGTATTGTTGTCAACTCAGTGGAAGAACTTTTTATTTGTGACCAGTTAAAATACAAAATACATCTAAAAGCAGAAAGAATTCAGAAAGGAACAATTTAGTCTCATCAGAATTAAATTGTAAGTGACGACACAAAAGCTAATTTATTTTTTTGTTTGTGACTATTTGTACATTGAGGTATCTATAGCTTTCCCTCAACGTTCATGCAAGATAAATTTTGCCTGATTCTGTAGGAAGTAAAATTAATTTTTCTGAATATTTTTAATTTGAGATAAAGCTCGAAACCAGATATGTAGTCTTAACATCATAGCCCTTCCAATGCTATTAACTACTAAATCACCTTGTTGATACCAGTTAGGTCAAGAATGCTGCTTTGTGGAGGAATATAACTTAAATCAGAGTTGGATAAGAGGAAGAAGATTTTGTATTTGAATAAATATTATACAACTCTTGCATTTTATTTTTTTTTTTTAATTTCACAAAAACTGGGTATTTCGTTGTAATTTTTACGTTAGTTTGGTTAGTTTTTGTGACACATTTCAGGCAGGAGACTTCACCAATAGAACAATGAAACCATGACATTGTACTCTACCAGTCTAAGTAATACTCAAAACTTTCAGAAATCCTAATGTCTTTGCAAAGAGAGTATCATTTTATTTTGGTATGTAACTGATCTTTCAATCTGGTAAATGCAGTCCGTATTCTTTTTCGCTTTACTTGTGTCTGGAGGTAGCTAGGTCCCCCTTGTTTTGCTCTATCTTGGTTAGAATAGTCAGATTTTATCCTGTTACATTGATTCTTTATTTGATATAGCTCCATCTGTCCCAATTATCTGAAATTGTTTAAAAACATTAATGAATGAAATTCCAGAAAACTGAGAGGAGGAGAACATTATATTTAAATCCAGAGAAGCTCTGGATTTTTAGATACACGTCTTAGAGAACGAACTCCAGGTCTTGTTGTAATGAGGTTTAAAATGCATTAACGTTCTCTTCAGGGCATTGTGATTGTTAGTATTGGAAGAAAGGGTGAAGAGTGCAGTGGTGGTTGAAGAATATTTAGGGACATACCACTACAAACCTGTATTCACTTATTTCCTAGGCGTCCATGACTGAGAGATACCAGAGACAGTATAATGAGCTGGATGCTTGGTTCAACCCAGTACACCATTTACAAAAGGCTGAGAGGATTTTCCTCTGATGGAAAAAAGAGAAAGAGGAGATACATAAATAGTAGGCTTTTGTGCATTTGGTAAAGATTCTAAATAATTTCTAATAAGTATTTCAGGTTTCTAGAATATAGAAACTGGTAACTGTAATACTGATAATTTTTTCTAATTTTGTCTTAATGAACTTTACCTATTTTCAAATACTTTTTGTTTTCATTTTAGTGTGATATCTACTACTGTATGTCTGGTATTGTGTTTTTTTTGAGATTCTAGTACATGCATGTGAGAGATCATATCTGCATATAAAACATTACTTCTGTGTGTGTGACTCCAACCATTAAATGGTTAAACTGCTGTACAAAGAAATGTACCATCAAGTAGAAATTCACTCACTTAGAAGACATGCTGGGGGGACTAATCTTATCTCTTAATGAAATAAAATGAAATTTTTTGAATTACCAGCAATGAGGTATAAGGTCAGTCAATAAAATACTCTTGCAGTTGCAGTGGCAGTGAAGGAATCACTCTGCAATAATTGGAGTTAAACCAGGGTAAGCTGTAGTGGAGAGAGGGTACTAGAGGTATCTGGATCAGGAGCAAGCTGGAAAGGTAAACTCCTGTTCAGACTTCAACATTAAAAAAAAAAAAAAAATTGGTTAAAGCTTACAAACTGACTTAATGGTATAATTAGTTTTTAGAAGTGAATGTTCTGGAATTATCAAGGCCAAAAGCTTCAAAAAACATTCAAAGATACTGTTGGGTATGGAGAAGGTTTCATAGTTATCTACTGCTGGAGTCTTCCCTGCTGTTGTGCATTGTATTCAGATTTTTCTTGCTCATCTTCCCACTGTTTGTCTTTGGCAGTGTGGTTCTCTTGACAAATATGGAGATGAAAAGAAATTCAGGAGGTTATACACTGCAGACTTAATGAGTTATTTAATGCCATTTCCTGTGATGTGCAGTGGTAATTAGTAAGACATGAGCTGGGTATGTTCACTTAAGCATCAGCTGTTAGTAATTGACATCTAATGCTTATGGTTGAGCTTAACAGTCAGTGTTCACTGAAATGAATGATGCTTTTTACCATAACTTTTTTGGTGTTATCGTAAATTCAAGGAGGTCTCTGCAGGTACTTTCTTTTCTGTGTTTATGTGCTGGTCTAGTCCGTGGGAGAAGGATGCTTTGGGGAGGGATCTTATAGACATATGTATAAAGCCACTGGAACCTCCTGGTAAATACTGACTAAATCAACAGAAATTAAATAAAACTTAGGTCCATGAAATACAAGAAAATGTATTTAAGGAGTAATAAATGTATGTTATTATAAAATGGTAGCTCAGTTGAAAATGATAGTATAAAAACACCAGTTGCTAGTAAGATGATTCAGCACACTTAACATTTTTCATCCACATCTATATGTGTTTCTTTAAAATGCCATTTGTTAAAAATAATTCTGCAGATTATTTGCAGAGAAGTTGGAGGGAGAGGAATTTGAGGCCAAAGAAATGCTGGGGGGAAAGGGGATGAGAGAGGGGAGAGAAAGGGATGGATGTAGGGGGGTCAAACTCCCATTATGTTATCTACATGTGTTATACATGGGCAGGTCTGTACTACTACCGAGTAACAGAAAGCTTTCTACTGGCAGCTTGCACAAAAACATGGTAGTTAGTGTTTTAATGTGGCCATGGAAGAAATGAATAGAAAATTCCATGAATAATTACTAGAAATAATCCCATTCAAAAAAGAAAAGTACTTTACTTTTACAGACAGTTGATAAAACGTTATATTGTTTCTAGTTTGGGTTATTTGTTTTCAAATTAGGCACTGAATTTACTGGAGGTGAGTCACTCAGAGGTGAGGTTTCATTCATCCAGGCCTTTTTATTAATTGAATGTGGATTTATTGTTTACCTCTTGTTCCTTCATTGCCTCTCTATATCTGAATCTGTTTGCCAGTTCTGTAGAATTCTTTTGTATTTGAGTGCTTGGGTTACTACAGCCATACATTTTGTTGCTTTGATGTTAAATTTGGTATCTTAAAAGTATGGCAAAGTGCATTTTACTGTATTTTTAATGTAAAAGTTTTAAATATGTCTGGCTTGTTTTCTTGCAAATAACTTTTTGATTTAATAGAAATTTGAACTTTTTACAAAGTAACAGTTCTCCTTTGTGTTTGCATAGGGGAAAATGCAGTGTTGCACTTCTGAATGAGACAGAATCTGTGCTGTCATATCTGGAGAAAGAGGTAATATGTGACTTCTATTTGGGTAAATATTGGGACGGATTTATGGTTCTTTACAGCTGTATTTTTAATAAATGGGCAAACAATACTTTGAAAATCTTTTCTTGAATTCTAAGTTAAAAAAAAAAGTCGTTTTAAAAATCAGTGTTTTCAAGTGTTATTGGATAAAAACTTAATTGACTCTCTTAAGTACTGGTTTTATTATGAATATGGTTGTATTTAGAAAATAATTAATTTGAAGTAATTCATATGGTATCTTACAAAAGAAAAATATACAGACTTTCTCTGTAGCAGATACTTAAGGAGGGATTCACATGGCGCTCTTTTTTTTCCCCCTTTTTTTTTTCCTAGAGATATTCTAGAAAGAAAAATCTTCCATAGTCAGTGGACAGAGAGAGCAAGAGAGGCTCCTATAGAGGGCAACTTAGCATAGGAGTTTAGTTTTAAAGGCTCTGAAATGCTGTATGAAGAGTCTCCTCACCTTTCGTTTCCTGTGGAAGGAACTTAGGGCACTCAGCCTTACCAGAGGGGAAGAAAATTCCCCAAGAATTTGGAAGATATTTGTATTGCAAAATACCTTTCAAAATAAACATATTTTTCTTTGGAATGTCTTAATATAATGTGGCAGAGACAATGTTTTTTAGCTGAAATCCCCGTGTCTTTACTTTTAAATTTCTACACTAAAACCGCTACTAATCAATAAAAATGTTTCTGAAAACAGGACTTGCCCAATACTTCAGGTGACTGTACCAGATATGCCAATACTATTTTTGTGTAAGCTCTTTTCAGTCACTGACAGTTTTACACTTTTTGAGACTAATTTGTTGTGCAAAGTCAGTACATGAGAGATATTTAGGAAAGGAAACATGTTAAATGCAGAAAGCAGTTAACATTAATTCTTTTCAAATCCATTGGTATATTTTTGTGTATGAGTTTTTTCATTATTGCTCTGCTCTGAAATAACTCCTAGCAATGAGAGAAGCTTCAATTAGCCATTTAAAAGTACTCATGAAACATCTGCATTATTTAAAGTAAGAATTCAAGTACCAAACCTGTGCTCTGTGAAAGTGTGCGAGGGGGGTTACTTTAATAATTTCCAAATGGAAGGTGATTCAGATTTACAAATCTGATTTTAAAAATCATAATGCTGTTGCAAATGTGTGTTCTTTTTCAGGATACTTTTTTTTATTCATTGGTGTATGATCCATCACTGAAAACGCTTTTAGCCGACAAGGGAGAAATCAGAGTGGGGCCTAGATATCAAGCAGATGTGCCAGACATGCTCGCAGAAGGTAAATATATGATCTTTGATTAGTCAGAAAAAAAATAAAATCCTCATCTTGCTTTATTACTTATGCTGACTTTCTGAACTAAACTAATCAGCATAGAGGCCAAGAATGTAAAATAGAAAATTGACGTCTTAGAAAATTGACAAATACCAGTAGATATTATGAAGAAAAAAAGAAAGGATATTTGAATAGCTGTTGAAAAGACATTGTCCGTTTCAAGTTTGAGCATACCACAATTTAGGTATCCAGTGTTTGTTTATTTAATTGCATGTTCCAGTTAGTTCTTTAATGTAGGTGTCATGAAAAGATGTTGAGGACCAACGCGTTTTGTAGAGTAGTAACATGGTAACAAAATAAGTGAAAAATGTATTCTTTCTCTCCCTTTTAAAACAGGCTCTGCTAGAGAATGCGTGTCTTTGTGTCTTCTTATTTTAAAATATTGGCTTCTGTTAAAGCATCTTGTCTGTTCTGTAACAGGACTGAAACAAATTCTTCAAGCCTTGGCATATCTTTAAAATCACTGGTATTTTTTAAATTTTATTTTATTTATTTATATCTAACACAACTACTTCTGCTCTTTTGCTGCATAAGAGCTTTATTCTTTTAAAGAAAATTTCAAGTACAATATTTATTTAGTATTATTTAAGAGGCGTGAGCAGCTGTGTCTTGTTATGTTTGCAATTATATTTACTTAGTAAATTTTAAAATGAGCTCTTTTTGTCAGTGAAATGTGCACTCTACCTTCAACACTAACAAAAGAAAAAGTTTCCTGAGAAGTATCTAGACACAGACACTATTTTCAAGAATCTTGGTACTTATTCCTTAATAAGAAAAGATTATGTGACAGGAATATTGCTTGCACTAAGTCAAAGGAGTTCTGAATCCTCCAAATATGTATATTTGTAACTTCAAGTGGTGTGTTTTCTGTTCATCATGGCCTTTTTTTTTCTACTGTACTTTTTCTTTCATACAAAAAAGTATTTTTTTCTACAAAGCTTATTTAATAAACTATATAAAACAAGAATGATTTGATTTCTGGCAAGTGGCAGATTATTTCACAATGGATATCATCTAGTAGCTCACCTGCATTACTCTTGTGACTTTTCTTTTAATAACTAGAAATAAACTGTAGGAAGTCTTATCCAGATTTGTTTATAAGGCGCACAGACTTGTTTCAGAGAAAGCTTTTGGCTAGAATATGATACACTGCTATTCTTGCTGTAAAATATGCCTGTCATGGGGAAACCAATAATTATGTAGGCTTTCATATGCTCAAGAGGAAAGCTTCCCAGAGGAATAAGAGAAAATGACTTTCTCAATGTGTATGTCAAGTAGCCAGGAAGTATTGATGTGCTTCCGATGTAGCTGGTTGAATTGTTGGATTTTCAGCATGAGCTGGGATTGTCTGCCAGGCAGGAAGTCTTTTCCGACTGAATTCTGCTACTTAAATGCCTAAAGACAGAGCCTAATTATGGAATAGTGAGTACCTCATGTAAAGTACATGTTTTTCCCATGGATATTTTACTTATTTTTTTTCTGAAACGGAATTCTATGTTTATTAAAAGTTAAGTTACTGAGTTCTTCTGGAGCTTAATTTTGAGTTCAATCTTTGATTCAGTTAAATGAGTAGATCTTTCTCTTACGTCACAATGACAGGATTTCACTGTGTTACTGTCTTGTTTTTCTCACTCCCCATTAATCTCCAAAGTGCGATAGGTGATGCAGTCTTCTTGCTGTCTTTAGTAGGCAATAACAGTCTATCCGTTATTAAGATTCAGAAACGCCAAGGAGCCCACAAACCAAAGATCTGGTGATATACAGAAAACTTTGGCTGTTGGATAAATCTGCGTTTATTTCCAGTGGCTGGTGGAAAAGAGAGTTTGGCTTTAGGAGGATAAAGATACCTTAATAATTGTAGTTTTGACTGATTGTTATCTAAATGTTTCTGTAGCCTTCTGACCTCCAAGGAAAAGGAAGAGATGATTCAGCTGTTTCTGTGTCTTTTATGTAAGCTGACAGCCTGAAAGTTAATCCATTTACTGTCAAGCCTTTTCATTCATGAAAACAAATCTAAACAGTGTTTTAAATTAATAGAATAAAATAGATATGTTTGGAAAATAAGGGATTCTGTGAAGATTTCTGAACCTTGAAATACATTTTTCAGACTATATTTTTAAAAGTGGCTAATGATCTGTATGTCCAAACTGTTTTGCCATAATGTACATCTCTCTAAAAGCCTACAGCAATCACCTTAAATGAAAAGAGAGAATTTGGGCACCTTTTAGTCACTTAGGGATCACTTGAGAAAAGTCATGTTTTATGTCGTCTAATAATACTATTATATACTAAATAAAAAGCATTGCTAACTTTATCCACGCGAAATTTTGTCACACCAATTTAAATATAGAGGAAGTATACCTTTTTGAAGTTTGTTGGTAGGCGTATTTTATGTTTACAGAAAATCCTCAAAGCCATTTAAAAAAAAACAAGATTTAGAAAAACAGAAGATTCACACACCATCAGTTATTTTATTTTGAAAGTTAGTGGCATATAAATCCAATTCAAATGACTGAAAACATGCCAGTTAAACTTCAGAAGACCAGTCACAAATTGGCTGAAAAATGAAAATGTTCTTTGAACTGTGAAAGCCCTTCCACATCTGTAAACGTTATTTTGATATAAATACATTAATGTATTCCAGTAGATTAAAAATTCAATTTGTTTGCATTTTCTTTATACTGTGCTAATTTATGTTCTGTCTGAACGGATTATTGTCTTTTTTTTTGGGAGGGGGGGGAGTGTTCTGTTTTTTTTGTTGGTTTCTTTCTTTTTTGTTAGTGTTTTGTTGTAGTTTAACCCTAGCCAGCAACTAAACACCACGCAGCCACTTGCTCACTCCTCCCTGTCCCTGTCAGTGGAGATCTATGTGTGGTTTTTTGTGAGAATATTTTTTATTGTTTTTATTTTTTTCCTTTGCATTGATGTTACCATTTTTTCATCCTTGAATAAAACATACTCCAAAACCCGGTGCTTAGATCAAGCTTTGGATAACGCAGCATACCTTCTCTGCCCTCCCTGCCCCATGGGTAAATTGGATAACTTTGTTTTTCTTTAATTTTTGAAACAGAAGGAATGTTTTATTTTTAAAAGACTAAAAGGTTTACTAAAATCAAGATACATAATAAAGTGTTACAGATCCAACTGGTTTTCCACTTTTACATTCAGTAAATCATAAATCCTTTACACAGTTACAGTAAACAAATAAAACCACAGTTTAAATCTGATTGAAAATGCCTAAGCCTTATTCATCTATGCAGCTTTTGTTTGTAGCTATTTAGCTAAATCGGTTTGATTAGATGACATGTTTAGCGAAGAGTGTAACTTTGGAGAGAGAGTAGACTAGATTTCTTTCACCACTCTCTTACGACTTTTGTTATGAGCATCTTTGTGAGTAAAACTATGATCAAAGTTGTCAGATTTGAATGATAGCGCATTGTGTGAAACTCTTCTTTCTTTCCCCACTGCCAAGTGCTCCAGTCTTTCTAGACTAGTTCAAAGATTTTGAGTCTCTTTAGTTGCTCTTACACTGGAGAACAGGAGACTATATTCTACAGCATTGACTTAACTTCTGACTAGTATGATACTAAAGAAGGTCCTTTCTCTACTTTTAATAACAGATTCTCCAGTGGTTTATTCTGGGAATATAGCAGTTGTTTATTTTCAGATCTGTTTCCAGTGTGGGGTAACATTCCTGTGTACAAAGCAAGGATAAAAGATTTATCTTGGAAAACCAAAGCATATCTTTGGACAAAGGGTATCTTGTTTCAAGCATCCCTATTCTACAGTCCAGGAGCAAGGTATCTGATTCTCTGCATGTGATGGCGAGAATCTGCTGTCTGGTGCATCCACTTACTTTATCTGATCAGCAGCTTACAAAATATGTGACTAGCAAGTTCAAAAACCAAAACAAAAAACCCCAAACAAACAACGGAAAAGCCGTATACGATTTTGCTTTGGGCAAGTCATTATTGTCATCATCGTTATTTGGTTAAAAGGCATACTTTTATAAATGGTTCTGAATATGATCAAATTGTTATCACCTTTAACTAACAGATTTTATTTAGTCCTGTTTTGTGCACAGGGGAATATAACTATGAGGAAGTTCAGCGAAATTACTTCAAGGCAAATCAGTTTAGATACTTGGTAGACTCTTATGGAACATTGATCCTTCCCAATCTCATAACTTGATGTATTTAAAACCAAATGTTCTTAAGGTCTGGAATTTCAACCAGCATTTCTCAGCACTGGACCAAGTGATGCAGTGACAAGTTGTGTTACATGATTGGCTGGAAAGGAGAGAATGAGAGAGAGAGAGAAAAATACCAGTATGGTGTTAGGGATATAGTTAGTGAAATAGGATAATGCTTAAGAATGGGAGTAATTGAGAATTTTTTTTTTTCTGCTCTACAGGATTTCTTTTAATGCATTAGAAAAAATTATTTCTCTCATAGGCCTGCACTAGTCTTTCTGCCTCATTTATACTATCATATGTCTAACTGTAGTTGTCACAAAGTAAAATGCATGACAGCTTAGCTAAACAACTATAGTCAAAGTGGTGTTATGGGTAGGGAAGCTAAGTGTTTAAAATAACCTCATTGGCCAAATCAGTAATTTCTTACATAATTTCTTACTTTCATTCATTCGTAAGTTTGTGAATCAGGTAGAAAGACTGGGACAAAGCCATCAAAGGTCAATAATTGTTCCTCTGTTTGCCAAAGCTGGATTAAAACTTCTGAAGCAAACGATATTTTCTAAATATCTAACAAAGAACTTTATCACAACTAGTTGTGTTTATCACAACTATCATGTTCTAGTCATGATACGTAAGTCTAGTGAAATTATTTGGAGTAATTCTCTGACTAAAAAAAACCCCAACAAAACACAAAATTCTAAATTGTATTTTCAATAATACTAATAAAGTTTAGAATAGCTATATCCTATCA